TTGACATTGCACAGTAATTGAACAACGCATTACCGGCCTGAGAAAGTTTTGACAAGGTTTGTAGGCAGCTCGGACCGGAGCGGTGCGTGTCCGGTTGTGCCGGGGCGGGGCGGGGCTTGCCGTGGCAGCGCATCACTGCAGCCCCCCCCCCGTCCAGACCCGGCCCCCTCCCCACCGCGCCCCGCGGCGGCCGGCCTGTGTGACCGCGCGTGGACCGGCCGGCCTGTGTGACCGCGCATGGACCGGCTGAGCTGTGTGACCGCGCGTGGACCGGCCGGCCTGTGTGACCGCGCATGGACCGGCTCGTCGAGACCGTGTCGATATGGTCGTGTGGTCCGATCATCCGATCACGTGGCCGTGTGGTCTGGTCCACGGTCGCAGGGTCTGGCCGTGTGGTCTGGCTGCGTGGTCTGGCTGCGTGGTCTGGCCGCGTGGTCTGGCCGCGTGGTCGGGTCGTGCCGTCGTGGACCACACAATCCGACTTCATGGTCAGATGTGCCCTATGCGCCACACTGCAGAATCCTGGGAACACAACTGCTGAGCTGCCGCCCAGAATCCAATACCTACCGCGCCACGTGGGGACGCCGCCGGGGCACCGGCTGCACGCTGGGCCGGCGGACCGGAAAAGCGCTAGAAATACCCCCAAGAGTGACTTTCCACACTATGAACAAAATATGTATCATTCGATCCCAAATTGATCAAAGCCTACGATTCTGATGCCATTTTTGCCCTAAGGTCGAAACTGAGGTGGTCAGTTGTCACCAAACACAAGACTATTTAGACCCGCTAGTGGCCACCACATTCGCCGATTTTAATGCCAATCTTTAGTTGATATTTATTAGTTGACCAGCTGTCGTTTTGAACGCAATTTTCTGTCAGACTAGTTCAGGGCACTGTTGTCCACTGTACCAACAACATTCTTACATATTGCATCGCTTTTCTGCAAGATAACCTAGCTTTTTGCAAGCAGCTGCAAGACCTAAATAAAAATCATATCTAAATTTTTAAATAGACTTTTATAAAAACGTTATTTCGAGCGGCTAAAAATGAACATCTTATACTAGCCTCTGATTACTCATCTTTCGTTCCATATAGGTGCTTTGCTGCTTTTCCCTGCTACTTTTCGAGATATGCGCCAGTCAACCATATGATGTAGGGGCAATTGTCACCTCGCCGCTCTACTGACGGCCCGGCGCTCTTTAAAGCGCCGAAATTAATAAAAACGAATGTTTATAATCTGAATAAAATATATGTCCCTGAGCTCAGAATTGATCAACGCACACAATGCTGTCAAAATTGTTGGGCCAAAGTCAATAATTAAGTCATTATGAACCCCCAAACACAAGTCAGTGATAATCAACAACAACTTGCTCTCTAGTTAGACTTTTTGAGAAATGTGATTTCGAGCCGCTAAAGATGAGCATGTCATGCAAACAACTAGTCAATTGTCTGCCATGCCCTATTGACGATTATTGCCTATATTACTGCTACTTTTCGAGATATCGTCTGCTTAGTCGCCTGAAATAGCTGCTGTAGGGTGGCATAGCAGCTATATCAGGTGACTTAGCAGACGATATCTCGAAAAGTAGCAGTAATAGGCAATAATCGTCAATAGGGCATGGCAGACAATTGACTAGTTGTTTGCATGACATGCTCATCTTTAGCGGCTCCAAATCACATTTCTCAAAAAGTCTAACTAGAGAGCAAATTGTTGTTGATTATCACTGACTTGTGTTTGGGGGTTCATAATGACTTAATTATTGACTTTGGCCCAAAAATTTTGACAGAATTGTGTGCGTTGATCAATTCTGAGCTCAGGGACATATATTTTATTCAGATTATAAACATTCGTTTTTCATAAATTTCGGCGCTTTAAAGAGCGCCGGGCCGTCAGTAGAGCGGCGAGGTGACAATTGCCCCTACATCATATGGTTGACTGGCGCATATCTCGAAAAGTAGCAGGGAAAAGCAGCAAAGCACCTATATGGAACGAAAGATGAGTAATCAGAGGCTAGTATAAGATGTTCATTTTTAGCCGCTCGAAATAACGTTTTTATAAAAGTCTATTTAAAAATTTAGATATGATTTTTATTTAGGTCTTGCAGCTGCTTGCAAAAAGCTAGCTTATCTTGCAGAAAAGTGATGCAATATGTAAGAATGTTGTTGGTAGAGTGAACAACAGTGCCCTGAACTAGTCTGACAGAAAATTGCGTTCAAAACGACAACTGGTCAACTAATAAATATCAACTAAAGATTGGCATTAAAATCGGCGAATGTGGTGGCCACTAGCGGGTCTAAATAGTCTTGTGTTTGGTGACAACTGACCACCTCAATTTCGACCTTAGGGCAAAAATGGCATCAGAATCGTAGGCTTTGATCAATTTGGGATCGAATGATACATATTTTGTTCATAGTGTGGAAAGTCACTCTTGGGGTATTTCTAGCGCTTTTCCGGTCCGCCGGCCCAGCGTGGGCTGGGTGCTGAGCGGTCGCCGCCGCGCCGGCGGCCGCTCTGTTCCGTCACTGAGGTGTCCGTGTGTGGCGAAGTGGATGATGTTAGCCGTATGATTGGCCTCCAGTCTCCACCTAATATAAACAAGCTCCTACCGCGCTGTAGCTCGCCAAACCAGAACATATACATTATACACATTACGTAGCACCTACGCTTAAGTTTTTTTTTTGTATCATCGATGGCAGGAAAGAGGCATTTTGCTTGTCGTATGTTTATGAGTATTTATGTATTTGACAGTGACGACGAATATTCAAAAGGTATTCTTCGATTGTCGATGATCATGCAGTCTCAGCGAGTTGGATGTTCTTATTTGGATCGGCCCTCGTAAGCAGTTGAAACACAGAATCCGTATTTGGCAGTGATGCTTTATAGTTAGATTGATTTATCGATTTACAGACCCTTGAGCAGTGTATAGTCGGTCAAATATGTATCTTTCCCGGCCGCCAAGTGGCGCTACGGTCTGGATTCGATAGTTGGCTGAGCCCACACCCCAGCTGCCCTGGCGGCTCTGGCGGCCCTGTGACGTCACGCGCGGGGGGCGGAGCTACACAGCGGCCGGCTGGAGAGTGACCGCAGACCAGCACTGGACGGCCTCGCCGCCGGGTGCTCCGGCGGGTCTGGCCGGGAGAGGCGAGCAAGCGGATGCGTTAGGAATCTAACGAATGTGAGGGCAGCGCGATGGTCTAATGATGGCTGTGCTTTCATGCGCCGTGTAAATTGTAGACTGAGTGCTATGAGATATCAAAGGATTATCTGGTGTTTCAACAGGGGTCGCTGACCTAAAAATTAAGATGGTTGCTCTTGATACGATCGAATGCTTGGTGATATGATGATTAGCGCAAGAGAAATATTTAATCGAATTATGACCGGTTATTTTTTGATAAAGCAAAAACTTTTTTCATTTTTTTTTTTGGCATTAACGGGAAAGCGTTAAGCCATATCTACTGAAAATCTTAACCTGCGCCGGGCCGGGGGGGGGGGGGGCGATTTGCGCCCCCCCCAGGTTTTTCGCAGATAGCCGAAAAACGGCGGCGTGCAGCGCCACCAAATTTTGCATACCTGTTTTTCCATCTATTGCGCATACTGTGTGCGAATTTTGACCTTATATGACTTAAGGTCAGGTCAACAGGTCGGTTTGAGTGACCTAACGTCACAAAAAGTTTGAACTTGCACCAAAGCTACAACTGTTAACCGATCGATATGAAACTTTCAGGAGTTAGTAAGGGTGACAATATCCACAAAATGTATGTCTCGGATTTTTTATCTATGACCTGAGGTCAGGTCAATCTCACAACCTCCCCATTATAAGTCAATGGGATAAATTTCAACTTCATCTGAATGCCACCCGATCCACACAATATATTCAGGATCATGGTGTTGCAGGTCCCTGGTGGTCATTCTACCGAAAGATGTCACCGGTGACCTTTGGAAGGTGTCGCTAGGTCATCCGAGGTCACCTGAGGTCACCAGCGGGGGTTTTCTGCAATAACTTTTGAGTGAATAGAAATAGAGACTCCGTTCGACGTTTATCATGTTTGTCTGATCAATGCGGATCGAATGATATGCAACATGACCTATTTCAGTCAGGTCATGACCTTGACCTTAGGTCAAATTTTCAACTTGACCTTTCGAGGTCACATGATATAGCTTTCGATGCGCTTTGACAAGCTAAGAACGATGACGTTTGAATCGATCCTTTATCTTGTCTGGATCAAAAGCTATTTAAGAAAAAGTATCAGAAGTAAAAACGTTTTTTATCGCTCTTTCGAACGCCGCCTACCGCTTGTCTCTACGACGCTCAGGAGTCGAGTTAGACGGGGGGGGGCGTAAAACCGCCCCCTCCTAAAACCGCCTGTTGTGTTACAGATAGAGCACCGGCCCGGCGCAGATTAAACGTTTTCCTTGATTTTTTTGTCGTTTCATAATGATATATTTTATAAAATTTTAATATCATTATATCAAAAATAGGTAAATGTATTAATAGCGCTATGGCATCGCGAGAAATCTGCAAGGCCAGCCTAGTCATGACGACCAGCCGGCCACTCGCTAAAGAATAACTCTCCCCTTTTCAAAAACGGTGCAGTGATACGGCATCTCAAACCTAGAGCGACTACACTCAAGTTCAAGCTAACGGTCTCCACTCTCCAATTCAGATACCTATCGAAACCTTTCCGCGACCCGGTGCTGTGGCTCAATCAGTGGGCCAGCTGGCCGCAGACCATACCCGCAGGGCATGAACCTTTGACCATATTAGGTCAACACGCCGTGGCCCCAGCCCGCTCGCCAGGTCCGCGCTCATTGGCCGACGCGGCAACCGCACAACCTGTCCCCTCCCCTCCGTAGTACTCGCAGCGGCCGGCGGATTCAGCCAAGTTACCGACCTGCCCAGCGTGGGGAGGGCCGGCCGGGAAAGATACATATTTGACCGACTATACATCCCATTAGAAATATGTTCGTCAGTAACAGACGATGTTTTTGCTTGTTTCAGAAACATGTTCCCGCCAAACCTGGTGCAGGCTGCTGGTTTCCAGGTACGTAGTATACAACCATATATGAACATTTGTAGGTATGCGTGGGTCTGAGATCTCTGCCGATCGGCCTGTTCCCGCTCATACGAGCTCATGCCATGGGTCCCTGCACGTAGACATAGACATACATACACTGGCGGATCCAGGGGGGGGGGGGCGGCAGGGGCTAAAGCCCCCCCCCCCCCCCATTCGAAACTCGACAGGGGCGGCAATATAAATTAGCCCCCCCAAATACACCGGGATTGGTCATTAAAATGATTTATTACTGGTAAGTTACAGCCTTCGATAGTGAAGTTCCTTTAGAAATTCCTTTCCGCTGTTAAATTGGTAGCGATTTGGCAGTTATTCAAGGATGGAAAAGTGGCGCCCAACTGACTTTCAGCGTCGGAGATTTATCCTAGGTAAACTTTTTTGGGACACCCTGTCAGTGGCGCGGGAACTTCTTCCAGACTGGGGGGGGGGGGGGGGGCTGAACCATCATAGAGATCAACCTAGGGTACCCCCAAATCTAGTTTTCTCATCGGTTTTAGGCCACTTATTTTTCAGACCTTGGCCTTTTCAACGAAAAAAAGAGAAAATATTTGCAAAAAAAGTGAGGTATTTCGTCTCAGCTGAGTGAAGAAACTTCCGTTTTGGCAACCTGGAATAAAGGTTTTAAGCTGCCAAATGAGCTGCCGAGTCAGTAAAATAGGTAGATTTTTCACTCACATGCTTTCTTCCTTTGTGACTCACAACCCATAATTTGGGGACGACAAGCTGCCCCAACGGTTCCTGGCCTCATGAAAAGTTGTGAGGCACCGCCCCCACGGCCCCAGAGTTGTGAGGGCAAGCTTCCCCCACTGCCCTCTCCCCCGGTTCCCGCGCCTATGTATGAATCTATGAAATTGTGTTGGTAGATTTCCGATTTCGATTCCTCCAGCTGGGGGGCTCAAATACATTACGAGCCCCCCCCCCCCAGCCGAAAAGTTGGAGGGGCTCAGCCCCCCCTAGCCCCCCCGGTTCCCGCGCCACTGCACCCTGTACAATTGTGACAGATTGCAGGATGTAAAACGACCAATGACCATCGACGCAAATGCTTACTGTCAGTAAAATTGGAAGTGGGAAATAGCTCTTAAAAAATGGGGATGAGAGTGCAAAATGATTTTCATTTGGATGTCAGTTCGCACCCAAATCGACAAATTTTGGGATACTGCTGTGACCTGGACTGGAAGGTCAACCAATGACCACGAACCCTAAAATCGGGTATCATCGGCTTCCTCTCGTTACTCACGGGCGACACGCTTGTTTTTTCCGCGAAGCTCTAGCTTGATCAGGGGCCGAACGGCATGGGGGTGTCCAACCGTCACCTCCCGGCCCGCGAAGGCTGCGCCAAACACCGACCCGGAGTGGGCTAACTGGTCAACAAAAGCAATTTGAAGTGTTTTTAAAGTAATATAAAGGCACGGGTCGGGTGGGCTACCATTTCTATATTTTTTATTTATTTATTTATTTCTAGTTTAAAAAATATCGTTTCAGGGCTGTGACGAAAAGTAAATCTGGCCTAAATCCGATGAGAAAACAGGATTTGGGGGTACCCTAGGTTTGGCTCCTGGCATGAGTTGCCCCCTCCCCCCCAAAAAAACGCAGGTCTGGATCCGCCAGTGTAGACTGGCGGATCGTATACATAGACATGAAAATAGACATAGACATATATTGTGACATTCCGAACAAAACATACAAGAATTAAGGTACGGATTAAGGTAGTTAGGATGGTCCCTTTAACCCGCGCCCCGCTGGGCTATTCAGCCATACGCGCCCTGCTGGGGGGGGGGGGGGGGCAGATTCTGCCCCCCCCTGTCTAACTTCCGAACCGATGGTCGTAGAAAGACGGGGAAAACGGCAATCGAAAGCTCTCAACAAGGCGGATCTTAAGAGCCCAAATTTTTTTGCTTAAGTAGGTCAGAGGTCAGGTCAAGGTCAGGTCAAGGGTACAAAATGCAAGTTTCTACAGTATCGGCCTTGCACCGTAGTTGCCGAAGAATGGACTGAGACTGATTGCCCAAAACGTGTTCTTAGACTACCAAGACAATATTCGTTGCACAAAATGTCATTCAAAGGTCAAGGTCAAGGTCAGGTCAGGTCAGGTCAGGTCACCAAAAACAAAATATAGAAAAGGGCATGTGCGACACATGTTTTATGGGTCATTTTACTCATGGAATTCAATAGGCACACTCAATAAGTGATATGGACCACCCCTGGATGAATTTCAGGTCGAGGTCAGGTCAAGGTCAGGTCAAGTGAGGTCAAATTTTGAAGGTGGTTGTTAAGGCCTAAAAAGGTGTCTATCCGATGCAGTTTTTCACGGCAAATCGAATGGTGCTATTTTCGTTTCCGTACGAGGTCTAGAACTTGCAAAAAAATCATTTTTCAAAAAAGTTGTGTGTCGTGACGTCATAACATTTTGAATAACTCCCACATTTTTAAACCGATTCTTCTAAAAATTGGTATGTAGGTGCACATAGACCACTTCTTTGACATATATTCCGGTTTTTTAGATAAACTCAAAATTTTGGATTTTATAAATATTTTCCCAAAAAAGTCAGTTTTTTGGAAAATTTTGGCCAAAATCCAAAATTTTCAAAAAACCGAGATAGCCATTTGATAGACAAAGTAGAATCACGTATAACATTTTTTGTTACGTCTTGATTCCTTTAAAAATGAAGATGTTAGCGGCGTTTGAAATTTTGCCGTTTTTGAGGCGAAAATGGCGAACATGACGTCACTAAAACGTCAATTTCTCAAAAAATTTCCGACGGATTTCGCTCAAATTTTCAGGGAACGTGTCAAATTGATTTGTAATAAGGTAATGAAAGTTTGACGTTGCTGGCGTAACGCGTTTAGAAGTTATTGGCGAAAAACGGGAGGGGGGCAGATTCTGCCCCCCCCCCCAGCGGGGCGCGGGTTAAGTGACCCCGTCCTACTTGCCGGCCGAGGGGGGTGCCTCCCATAAGTTTTTTCGCGATAGCTCCGAACACGCCGGCGATAGAAAGCTGAAACTTAGCATACCTGACCTTTGATTCAAGCCGGATCTTTTGACACCATCTGCATTTTCGTATCTGGTCAGGTCACTAACCTATGACGTTATAAGTGAACCTCTGCACGGTCTTCAGATGTCGCAACTTCGCAACGCCCTCACTGCCAGAGGAGCTTTCACAGGGAAATGGAACTTGCAGAACTTAGTATCCATTAGGAGTCTCACAACTTCAATATCTCGGATTTTTTTTCCTAAAGGTCATATGAGGTCAGATCATTTTCGTGGCCTCACCATTACCTAAGTCTATGGGGATAAATGAAAACTACTATTCTGACGCCGGGAACGATCTCCAACTATCACAACTAACTATCCAACTATCACAACTAGCACACAGAATCGTGATTTCATGCACTCCTTGTAAGCTTCGATGCGTCACTTTTGCAATTTTGACCTTGCGTGACGTCATTTATGACGTCATTAGGGTCATATTAGATTTTCGTCAGTAACTCCCGATCAAATTGAGCTAGCGAGTCGGGAAAGCCACCAATGGACTCAGGAAAGACCTGCTGAATCGAATGATATGCAACATGACCTTTTCCGGTCAGGTCATGACCTTGACCTGAGGTCAAATAATAGTTCATTCTCGACGCGTCTCGACGAGAGGAACACGATGCTGGCAAAAGTAATGTCGTGGCTTTTGTGAGTCAGAAGTTATTGCCGAAAAACACTTTTCGTAAAAACAGCTATTTTGGAGTTTTTGCCCTCTGGAGGCTAAACCAGTGACCTGATGTCAATTTTGAGGATATGTTGGCGAAAGAGCATTAAAAGAGCTATCGAATGCGATTTTCCGCAGCGCTATAGCTCCATCGGTTCCCGAGTTAGCAGTCGGCAGTTTCAAAAATGTTGAAATAGCCAACATTTATCTTCGGTGACCTCTGGTGACCTGACCTTTGACCTGATCCAAAAATGACCCGAAGTCGTTTTCTTTAACCTTCGCCCCAGTGGGGGGGGGGGGGGGCATATGTTACCACCCTGTCGCGTTTTTTTTGCGTGTGAATAAAACCGCGGCGCTACACCGCTCGGGTTAGCTTTTGGTACATCAATTTTGGACAATGTGTGAAATTTTTGACCCCAGGTCATGTCAGGTCAGGTCACCAGGTCAAGTTAACTGACCAAGCCTAACAAAGTTTGCAATGATGTCCAGCCTGCAGTGTTTGTCAGAAAGGTTTTAAACTTGGTGGATTGCATGCTGTTATGGGTGCCTACAATTTGTGTATCTCGGATTTTTTATATCCGTGACCTAAGGTCAGGTCAGTGGCGTGACCTTTCCATTACAAGTCAATGGAGAAAAATGAGCTAGTTCCGTGTGTACGCATAGGAACAGTCCAAATATTTCAGAATAACAATGATTTAGACCACCCGTGATGACCTAGGTGTCATTTTTGCTGATAGCCTCTAGAAAGGTCATCCGAGGTCATTTGAGGCTACAAACAGATTTTTGCCAATGACTCGCGATTGGAAAGAGATAGAACGCTGGGGGATGGTCTCATTGTGTTCGTCTTGTTGAGACGCATCGACTGATATGCAACATGACCTTTTCCGGTCAGGTCATGACCTTGACCTGAGGTCAAATTTTCAAGTTGACCTTTCAAGGTCAAATTATAGTTCATTCGACGCGTCTCGGCGAGAGGAACACGATTCTGGCAATAGAAATGTCGTGGCTTTTTGTAGTCGAAAGTTATTGTCGAAAAACCCTTTTGTAAGAACAGCTATTTTTGGAGTTTTTGCCCTCTGGAGGCTAAACCGTTGACCTGAGGTCAATTTTGATTATGACTTTATCAAAAGAAGAGTTCAAAAGCTATCGACTGCTGTTCCATGCGTTTTTCTAGCTACCATAGTTCCTGAGATAACGGCATGTTTTCTGAAAATAAAATGACAATTGGCAAATATTGACCTTTGATGACCTCTGGTGACCCCAATATTGCTCTAA